TTCGTTTTTCTTTTCTTTTTCTTTTGATCACTACTATTATCAAAAGAATTTGTATTTTTTACATTTTGAAAGGTTTCCGGGAATAAATTATTATGAGTAAAAAATACCAACGAATGTCTAACGCCAGAACACGGAAGGTTCCCATGCACCAGTAAGTTTGATCTAAATGCCAAAATATTTCCGGGTTTCAATTTTACCCGTACTTTAAGTTGTGGAAATATTAGATCTCCCCCTTCCCACTCTCCTAAAGGTACAAGCCAGCAAAACCCATATTTATCATCATGGCGGTCTATATGATACCCACAAAGGGTATTAAAATTTATTGCACACATTCCAAATACCTTGAATATTTTTTTTACCTACATTATAATAAAAAATAAGCATTGACAAGATACAGTTGATAAAAAATAATATTTTTTAAATAATTTACCTGATCTGAAAAACAAAGATTACTTAAATTATTAAACATGGATGGATAATAAAATGCCATTATATCTGAAATATAATCTGCCAATTCATTGACATCATATAGCATTTTGTCGACGCAACTATCAATTATTAAAATATATATATTAAAAACAAAAGTATTTAAAATAATAATAAACAATAATAAAAATTAATTACTTACCATGAATGATCCTTAATATAGCCATTCTTATTTTTACAGATATAATCCAAGGATTGATACACCAACTTATTATTGTTTCTGTAAATGCTGAAATGTTGTGTAAATAGTTGTGTGGTTTCCGATGATAACGCTGCTGCTGATATTGGCGCTGCTGCTAATGATAATGGCGCTGCTACTAATATTGGTGCTGCTGCTGATAATGATGACGCTGCTGCTGATATTGGCACTGCTGCTGATGATGATGATGATGGTTTTGTTGTTACTACTGATGATTATAGTGCTGCTGCTGATGATGATGGCACTGCTGCTGATGATGATGATGGTGCTGCTGATATTGGCGCTGCTACTGCTGCTGATGACGATGATGATGATGTTGTTGTTGCTGATGATATTACTAATTAAATAATAAAAGTAGTAAATTAATTAAATGTTTAAATATATATCACAAAATTAATAACATTAATACTTTTTTTGATAATATACCTGAAGGTTTATAATTAAACCCTTTAAATTT